AAGAGTTACAGTCTTGGAAGCCCACAGGAATAGTTCTACCCTGTCCTAAAGGTTGCTATGAGCCGGCATCGACTTTGTGGCAGTGAGTACATATATACACATTTACACACATATTTAAACATAGACACACATTCACACACACATATGCACATTTACACATATATACACATTTATACATATACATACATATACACATGTTCACATATACTCACATTTATACATATACACATTTTCACATATACACATTTGTACACACGTATATACACCATTTACGCACACATATGCACATACATACATACACACATATTCAACAGTGACAGTGAGTGTATATATATATATATACATACACACATACACATTTATATATACATATACACACATACACACATTTACACACGTATTTAGCAGTGGCAGTGAGTCTATTAATACACATACATAGTTATATATATACATATACACACATACAACAGTGGCAGTGAGTATACAGATATATACACACACATTTACACACACATATACACATTTACACACGTATTTAACAAAACTGAACAATGCACTCCCATGGGGTCGATGCCCACTCAGACCCACGGGCCAGAAGCTGGGCTGCTGACCACGGGACATCCTCGTCTACCCACAGGGCCCTTACGGTCAGAACCGACTGGGTGGCCGGGAGCCTGGCTTTTGCCTGGAAGGAGCCAGGTGTGCCACTGTTAGTGCTGGGCTGCTGACTGCAGGGCCCCGCTGAGGGGGGGGAGACGAGGCTGCCTGCCCTGCGGAGACCACAGCCTAGAGCACCCTCGAGAGGGACGCGATGAGTGAGTTGCTGGCAGTCAATTAAAGAGTGGGTTCACGTGTACATACACACACGCACATACACATGTGCTGACACCGGAGGAGGCTTCAGAGCTCTTAGGAAAAGTGCATTGTCTTTCACATCCACGTTTCCTCCTACTTTCTGAAGCTCCTGTGCATAGAATATACATCCTTTACTTACACCTATGTACAATGTGCAAGCACGACACACACACACATGCTCTATACACACATACGCACGCTATGCACATACGTGGCCAGCTGGCTTTCCAAACTGCCCCTGGAGCACATGGGCTCTTGGTCCCGCTTTGGAGCCGGCCGGCCAGTCCACCTCTGTGGCCACTGCCTTCGGAGCCAGCAGTCCAGGGGTGGCCAGCACAAACCCCACTGCAAGAAGCATCGTCCCTGTCTCCGGACAAACCCCCTCGCTGTGCATTGCACATTCATTTCTCCCGAGACCACTGGGCTCTGCTTCCCAAGCTGAGACTGCTGACTGGGCACGGAACACGGCCTCTGGACCGCCCTTGTAAACCATGAGCGTGTGTTATTCTAATTCAAGACCTGACCTCCGCCTACTCCTCAGCTGGCGGTGGGCAGCAGACTCAGGGTCACAGTTAAGCCATAAATCAAAGACCAGGAAGGGCAGACCATGGGCTGGGGCTCTAGATGGGAGGCACCCGAGGAAGGCGTGGGAATACAGAGAAGCTTTTCAGGAAACGAGTTGATTTTAAGTGAGAGATCGTTAACTCAATATCCCAGAGGCTTTGAAAAGCATCCCACAAGATGCACCTGAATTATGAAACGTTATAAACTAATTTTTTAAAAACAAATGTGTATTGACAGTTGTCCTCAATGGCTCCTAGCTGAGACACCGTCCGGTTCTCCGAGGCCGGCTGCTGGTGTGCCGTGGGCCACTCAGGACGGCTTGTCCCCCAGGGACACTCTCTTCGCTGTGACCAACCAGGCAGTGGGGTGCAGCCAGAGTGAGGCAAAGCACTGGCGTGCTGATCCTTAAAAGCCCCAACAGCTCCCCTCTCTCCCAAAATGTGAGTACTGTACAAAGAATCACAGTGCAAAATGCCTGCTTCACAACTGCTTTTCACAGGAACGCCAACCCTAGTATTATAAGGATCCTATGACTGCCTGCAGCTTGTCAGTACTACGGCTGTTCTTTCCGAAAACATGGGGTTCCTACAAGTTAGACACATCAGGGGAAGGAAGGGGGATCAAGGAAGTAGAGATTGCCTTCCCTCACTCCCTCAGCTACTCAAGTCTGACCTCCAGAGCCCTGCCAAGAGAGCAGAGGGCTTCACAGGCAAGGCCCAAAGCACTCGAGGTTTTTGAAAGCAAACGGGTTTATGTTCAGTTTTGATTTATTTTCACATGGCTTTTTGGAGCAAGGACCCACCTGTGCCTTGTACCCTATTGGGGGTGCCATTGGGGGACAGTATTTTCTCGAGCCTGCTGGCCTATGGTGGTGGTGAGAGCAGGAAGGAGGAGGGGCCTCTCCCCGGGGTGGGGGGGACTAAGGTCACAACTTGCACTGCTCTTAAATTTCCCTCCTCCAGCACAAAGTGCCAGTGTCTTGTATCAAACACTCACCAAAAGAGCTTCCGGTGACACAGCAATGTGATGACTTGTGTAATTTGGATATTTATCCCAGCATGAGCGCGCGCGCGCGCGCGCACACACACACACACACACACACACACAGAGTCAACGGTGTTGAAATTCAGCTGTCCTTCCAGGTAAGTTAGAATGCAACGCAAACAAACAAGAGAACTTCGCAAAGACAGGAGACCGTGTGTTTCGGAGCAAAGAGAATGGCCCGTGCTTCCCTGTGGAGACGGGCCCACAGGTCAGACCATCAGGACAGACGCAGGGTCTGCCAACTCTGGAAGTAACTAAGTAACTTTGGGGGTGGCCCTAAACGCCGGGGTTTGCCAAGCATCATCTCTGAGTTACTGCCCTCAGATGCCCATTTCGACGGTCCCTGGGACATGCAGGGGAGGCTTGTACTGGTGGGCACTGCTGTGACTGTCTCAGGAGGTGCTGTTGACACAGGCATCGGAGGTGTCTCAGGTGCTGGCGTTGAACTCTGACAGAGACCATGCAAGTCCTCGCCAGGGACACGGCCACAGCTTCCTGTCTGTGTCATCAGTGCCCTGCTTCTTCCCCACTGGGCGATTCAGTGGGTGGGAAGACACTGGCTGGGCTCAGAAGTTAGCGCCCTCGGGAGGGAGCTGTCCAAAGTAGTCACAGTCCCACCTAGGCTGGCCCCACCATGAAACTCCTCAGTATAAATTAGACTCCGGAGACCCACACTGCCTTCATGCAAGGACAAGAGAAGTGACCAGTGCTTTGGCCTGATGGCAGTGGGTTCGGCATTGGCTTTTTGGAATGTGCTGCGTGCTGCATGCCCAACCAGCATGTGTGAGTTCCTTTTCTGATACAAAAATGCGGAAAACAGCATTCAAGGAGCACAGGTTTATTTTACCTTAAATAGAACTACATTTTTTAAAAGGTTCAATAAGTTTAACTAAAAAAAAAAAATCAAAGATACCAACATGTTTTCTCATGGTCCCCCAAATCACCCCATAGAGTCCTTTCCACACAGCCATCTGTCATACATGCATCTATGGGATAACAGAGCCCTTGGACAGCACTCGTGTTTTCTCTCTAGAAGTGTGGTGACATTGTCTGGTGGTCTTTGTGGGGAGAGGTGTATGCATGGGGGTTGTTCTCTTGGAGGGGACAGCCAGCAACTATTTGGGAAGTGGAGGGGATTTTAATAACCACCCGATTCTGTGTTCCCAGCAGGCCAGGGTCAAGGTGAGAAGCCCTGGACAGGGCACTTGTAGCGGGTAGGTGCCCTTGCTCCAGAGCCTTCACTGTAGGAAGAGTAAGTAGTCCCAACCCTGTCCTACTTCAGCTGAACTTCCCTCCTTGATTGAAGAAACTAGCTTGTCTGTCAGGGATCTTAAGAAAGCCGGGCGGACCTGCTGCAGGACCCACACCCTCTCTCCAGCCCAGGACCTCTCCTCAGGGTGGAGGCAAGGTGAGGGTTTCACAGGGGCAAGGGGACCAGGTGGCTGGCAGGCCTGGGCTAGACAAATCTGGCACGTCTGGGACACTGTCCTTCAAGGGCCACAGAGCCAGGGAGTCACCAGGGGCTGGACTGTGGTGGCCTCAGACAAACAGGACCTGGGTTTGGACCTGCTGGCCTAGGGACAGCCCATGGGGAGGAAGCTTGGGGTTTGCACCAACAGGGGAGCATGCCTGCCCGACCTCTCAGCCTCGCAATATTTAAGAATTAGTTTTCAGTTTTAATGACTCCTTCGGTGGACTTAGGCTAGAAATGTTTTCAGATGATTAATGTTTCGGGATGAGGCCCGACTGTGGGTGGGAGAGCGGGGCCCAGACTGGTCCGGACAGGGCACTCCCAGCTTCAAGCCCTACAGCATTCGACTCCCGCCCTCACCCACAGCTCTCCAGGCTCCGGACTCACGCATGCAGACCTGTCTCTGCTTGGTTGTCCTCACCCTGTGACTTCGGCAGCAGCACTGACAGCAGCGTGGTTTGGCTGTAAGGGGCCCATCTGCTGGGGGGCCAGCGCACCCTGAAAAGCACCTGGCACCTCCTAGGGAAGGATGTGGGGGCCTGGCTAGGGCCATGAGGAACAAGGACAGACTGGCCACCTTTGTTAGAGGCTGGGCACTAGGCTTTAAAATCCCATTTGGATCAGAGGTGACCCATGGGTCAAGCTCATTTTGAAATGTCACCCCTGCCCCCCACCTCACTGTGCCACCTGCTGTGTTTGCTGAGCAAATTCCCCCCGCCCATCCTCTCTGCCACGATGCTCATCAGTGTGTGGGAAGCCTGTCCATGTTGCCTTAAGATCCATGGGTTGGGGCTGCAGGGGCAGTCACTGGGGGGCCCTGCTGGGGTGCCCACCTGTACTCCCTTCCTTCTTCAGGGTCTAGAACAACCTGCCAATGGACGCCGCTGAGAGCATGCAGGGTGAGTCATATGGGCTTCCTCCCAGGAAACCAGGGGCTATACCTTCTGCCACTGACCAGGCCTAAAGTCTCCCCATCTCCCCGAGATGAACCAAGGAATGTGACTCAGGAGCCATGTCACAGCTGCATTTTATTCAATTCCATGTCACAAAAATAGGAACCTAGCCTAAGACATCCATTTCGATCCGTACGTGTGTCAAGTCACAAGATTTCATAATAAAAAAATATTGGATCTGGGTAGCAGCCCCCACTGCTGATGGAGGGGCACTGGCCCCTCTTGGTACTGCAGTACAAAAATATGTTTCTGCCTCCCCGCGGAGGGCTGCTGGCTCTGAGCCTAGGACAGACCCAGGGACCTCAGGGGTCATCTGTATACACCCTTGACATTCTGCTCGGCAACTTACACATCCTCTGGGGGAAGGGGTCACACCACAAGGTCCCGACGGGAGAGTCTGCCCAGAAAGGACATCAAGGATGACAACATTTAACAGCTGAGACACAGCGAGGACCACGCTGCACCTCAATGCTTGCTGGGCCAGGCCTGGTGCTCATGCTGCAGCCCAGACAGAGCCTTCTGTGTGGCTACCACCTAGACCAGCAGTCACGGTTAGAGCTCTGTCCGGCAGGAACAACGGGCCCGGCAGCTTTGCAAGGACTTTGTGCACAAGGTCCTGCCAGGGAGCTCTGTGTTTTGGGGCTTGAGGACCCTGCCTGCTGTGGAAGGACATGACCTCCGCCCCTGGCCGGGCAGCGAGGAGTGCCCAGGTCAGGTTCCACCGCACTCGAAAAGCCCAAGAATGAGGTAGGACACAAACACTTCCTCTCCGAGTGTGATCTCACCCGGGGCCTCTGGCTGAAGGAAGGGCCGCTTAGACATAGAACCTGGCAAAGCCTGAGTTCTGACTCACCCGAGGGAGCGAGGACCTCAGAGGTGGTGGCAGATGAGCCCGGGACCCAGGGGGCTGTCAGGCTGAGAACGCTGCCCGGCGTGAGTGTGTCCCTCTAGTCCATGGTTCCTGCAGGGGCGGCCACTTGCAGCCCAGAGGCCGCGCGGCGCTCTCCTCTTCCTGACCGTGCAGAGATGCCACAGCCCCAGTCCACGCGCCCAAGCCTGGCTGCGGTGGTCAGTTTCTAAGCAGACCGCACAGGGCATCACATTCCTCGCTCCTATTCAGGGGCAGCAGGGGCAGCCTCCTGAAGGCACTGGCACGTCCCGGCAGCCTGACTGAGCAGAGAGGAGGCCTCATGTTGTATGACCTTAAGACAAGAAACTGTCAGTTTTATTTTATTTTTTTTCCATTTTCCTTAAACCGAAGTACTATTTATAAAATACTTTACATCTTTCTTTTATTATTTTCAAATGATAGACAAACCTCCCTAATACAAAATACTAAAAGTGCAGCAGTATAAATTAAGAGTTTGCGACCACAGTATACAAACATTACCTTCTTTATTGTACAGCTCTGGTAACGTGAGACCTTTACTCACAGCTGCTTAGGGCGTTGTGGCCAACTGCGATGTTTGTCTGCCACTGGTTTTCCCCCGATCGTGGGGCCACGGACCACACGACACTTGTCATTTCATAGAATAACTGTCACATAGCAGCTACAAACTTTTAAATAATAAAAAAAGGTCTGTTACTGACAGGTACTTGCACATGAAAAGCATGCTCTCCTTCCCAGTAAAACTTCACAATGTCGCCTGCGTGGAAGGATTCCACTTATTTATAGTAGAACAAATCTTGCTCTGAAAAGAAGCCGAAAACAAAACAAAACAAAAGCAACAACAAAAAAATCCAAACAACAAACCAAAAAAACCAACCCGGGACCCCACACAGCCAAATGTCCTCCATTGTACAAAGGCTTCTCAAAGAATGGTTGGGGTGATTATATTGTCTGTTACCCGCATAATTTCATCTTAACATGATAAATATTACAGACGAACATACTGGATTCATACACGGCGCCAGGGCATCGAGCCACTTCTTAAGAGTAGAGTTTCTAACAACGTTGTTCCAGTTTCTAACTAGCGTGAATAAGCCTGGAGCCAGCGTGCCTGGGCCCTGGGGACTGCAAGCAGCTCAGGGCCGAGGCCTGGGTGCTCAGTCCTCAGTAGTCCTAACGCGCCTCCCCTGTGGTTTCTGTGACTCAAAATTGGGTCATCGGTCCAGTTCCCAGTGACGTCAGACTCACTGGGCGGAGCCCCCCAGCGCTGCTGGGGATGGGGCGCCCTGGGCCTGGCTCCCTGCTGGTGCAGGGCTGTGCGTGGTCCTGAGCCAGCTCCAGCATGGAGGTGTGTGTGAGTGCGTGGGCGGGCTGGCAGCTAGTTGATGCTGATCTCCTTGTTGTCCTCGATGAACCTGGTGAAGGGCCGGCTGGCCCCGGTCTCTGAGCCCGCCTTGTCCAGGCCCACGGTGGGTGGGCTGCTGCCCGTGCGGGCTTTGTCCATGCCGGCGCCCAGATTGCCCAGTGGGGGGATGGCACTGCCACCAAGGCTGACGGGCAGCGGGGGGATGCCGCCGTTCTGTATGACCGATATCTCGTTGTTCTTCATGGCCAGGCCGTTGGTGATGGCCGCGGCATACTGGTTCCAGAAGCTGGGGTCCACATTCATGGCCCTTGCAGCCAGGTCCTTCTGGAACATCTCGGAGAACTTGAGGGCGTCGCCCCCTAACAGCGCCATGGGGTTTTCCACTGAGAGGCGGCGGCCTCGTCTGGCGGGGGCATTGTTCCACATGTGCGTGCCCATGTGAACCTGCGTGCGAGATGTGAGAGACCCCCCATGGTGAGCGGTGAGCACGGCGGGACCGGCACCCACCGCCATGACCATCACAAGTCACCGCCACGAGCCAGCAGGACCCCCCCTTTCCCGGGACCTTCTCTGACCACCTAAGCTCAGGTGCACTACCTCATCTCTACTACGCACCAGCAACAATGCCAACGGCCATCTTACTTGAGGGCCTCTACCCGCTGACCACTTGATAAGGACTCGCCAGGCGGCCCAGAGGCACTGGGGGGGGCGGGGAAGGGGCACGTGCTCAGGGCAGTCTTTTGGGCAGGACGCTCTGGAAGGCAGGTAGCATTCACTGGCCACGCCCCTGTCCCTAGCTGGGCTGGGCTTGTGACCAACCTTGCAGTCTGTACTGCAGGCCGCCAGGGGCCCTCGAGGGCAGCTGCCACAGGAGCCTCTTGGAAGAGGCTGCGTAAGTCAGGGGGCGAGCCCAGACGTCCGCCTAGAGCACACACCTGCTCTACCGTGCGGGAGTGGGTGTGCCAGCGCACTGGGAAGCCTTGTGCTGCTCCCTGCCCGGCCACGCCCGCAGCACCACCTTTGCCGGAGGGGCAGGGACCTCCCTCTGTGGTCCGAGCTCGCTCCTGCACGCTCACACCCCTGCACATGCAGGCTACAAGCATGTAAGGCTCCACGCTGCTGGCCTCCCACGGTGCGAGCACCCCCCTTACCTTGAGATTGCCTTTGGTAGTGAAGGCGCGGCCACAGATGGTGCAGCCGAAGGGCTTCTCGCCGGTGTGCGTGCGCTCGTGGATCTGCAGTGCACTGGCTGATGAGAAGGTCTTCCCGCAGGACTGGCAGTTGTGCTGCTTGGGGGTCCGGCGTGGCGGGGGGGCCAACAGCGGGGTGACGCCAGGGCTCAGACCTGTCTGTGGCCCAGCGGGGACCTGGACTCCGGCCGGGAGCGGGCCCCCCTCACCCAGCGCGATGGCCTTGCTGTGACCGTTGACATCCATCCTGATGACAGCTGCGGGCGGGTTGCTGCTGACCAGGCTAGGAGTTTGGCAGGGACCTAGAGCAAAGTTGGGTTCAAAGAACTGAGGAGGCAGCTCCTTGAACCTGTGCGTCAGCAAATGCTGCTTTAAATTACCCTTAGTAGAGCACCCGCGGCTGCAGGCGGAGCACACAAAGGGCCGTTCCTTCGTGTGGCTCCGGTAGTGGATGGCCAGCGCACTCTTGCAAGCAAAGGGCTTGCCACAGGCACCACACTCGGTGCGCTCACACTTACCCCGTTCTCTGGTCAGGAACAGCAGGCTAAAGGGGGCCTCCTCCTTGACCACTGGCCGGCCCGGGGTGGCGGCGGTCAGGTCGAGGGCACCTCCGTTCTCGGCCGCCGGGGCAGGGCTGTCCGGCTTCTCGGTCTTTAGTGTGATTTCCTGGGGCTCGCCCTGGTTGCTGAGCCCCGGGGACTTGGAGCGGAAGCTCTCGCCATTGCTGTGGGCAGGGGACAGGGCCTGCATGGAGGAGGATGACTCCGACGTGGCTGGACTGCCCACACTCTGGCTCTCCAGGTCGCCGGCGGCAGATGAGGAATCGTTGCTCAGCCGGTCACTCTCCCCGGACCCATTCTCCAGGGCCTTGAGGCCAGTAAGCTGTTGGCAGCCCATGGCCGAATCCATCATCTTCATCTGGTTCTCCAGGGCCGCGATGCTGGAGATGACCGAGGGCGGCGAGGGCGGGCAGGAGCCGGAGAAGGTCAGCAGGGGCTTGGAGGGGTCGCCCAGGGGCTCCTTGGGCTCCGGCTCCTCCTCCAGCGAGTTCTCGTCCATGTCGTCATCGTAGCTGCTCAGGGCGTCAGCACCCTTGTCGTCGAAGGGGAGCTCAGCATCCATGGCTTCCTGGAAGCCCTCGGGCAGTGGCGTGTTGGGGATGTGGCCCCCCATGTGCATGCGGATGTGCTGCTGCAGGACCACAGCGTTGGTGAACTTCTTCTGGCAGATGGGGCAGGAGTGCTGCACCCGCAGCGGGGGCTTGGCGCGGTGCACGCCGAAGTGCGTCTTCAGGTTGCCCTTGGTGGTGAAGGCGCGGCCGCAGATCTTGCACTTGAAGGGCCGCTCGCCGGTGTGCGTGCGGTAGTGCATCTTCAGGGCGCTCTGGCAGCTCAGCACGCGGTGGCAGAGGGCGCACTGGTTGGGGTCCGTCTTCTTGTCGATGTTCTCCACCAGCTGCTGCAGCTTCGAGGTCTCCGACGTCTGCATGGAGTCGAGCAGCCCCCCAAATGGGAACTTGGCCTTGACCTGGTCCGACAGGGCTGGGAGCACTGGGGTGGCCAGGCTGGAGGAGGGCGCGCTGCTGTCGGTGGCCGTGGTGGCCACAGGCACCGGAGCAGCAGCCGGCCCGCTGGCTGGGGCATCCCCGAGCCTGGAGCCGGGGAGGGGCAGGCCGAGGGGCTCGGTTTTGGTCAGGGCAGTTGTGCTGAGGGTCGGCTGTGGAGACTCGGCGGCCACTGGGCCACCAGACTCGGAGTTGTTGAGGCCGGGTGACAGGGAGGTGCACTCGCTGGAGGCAGGAGAGGGCCTCTGTGGAGAGCGGTTCATGGGCGTGAGGCTGGGCGAGTCGGTGAAGCCGGGCAGTGTGGGCGGGAGCTGCAGCCCCAAGGACGTGGGCACTGTGGGCAGCACGGGCTTGCTGTCTAGCCAGGTGGTCACCGGCTTCTCGGGTGGCAGGGACATCCCGTAGGGGATGCCGGAGCAGGTGGGCACATTGTCGAGGTATTCCGGCACAGGGTAGGGGTTCATCTGGATGTGGGGGTACTTCTCCTTGTGCCTCTGGAAGTGGACCTTCAGGTTGCCCTTGGTGGAGAAGCGGTTGCCACAGATGTTGCACTTGAAGGGTCGCTCACCAGTGTGGGAGCGCAGGTGGATCTGCAGGGCACTGTCGCTGCCGAAGACCTTGGCACAGAACCTGCACTTATGCTTGAAGAAAGGGTCCTCGGAGCTGGCCTTGGGCTCAAACACAGACACGTTGGGGGGCTTGCCCTTGCGGTGCTTCATGAGGGCCGAGAGGGGGTCCAGCGCGTTGGCCGTGGCCGCGATGCTGACCAGCGGGTTGGGGAAGATGACGCTGCTGGAGGAGGTCTGAGGTAGCAGTGGGTTTGGCAGATTGGACACGGAGGTCAGCAGTGTTCCGGCTCCCAGGGTGGGGGGTGGGGGTGCGCTCTGAGGCCGGGAGGAGCTGCTGCCAGTGGATGTGCACGGAGGGCTCGTGGAGGCAGGGACCGTGCTGGATGACGCTGTGGGGACACTGGGCTCCGTGGACCCCGATGGGCCGCAGCTGGGGGCACCAGGAGTGCTGGCCCCAGACACGGACTGTGAGAGGAGCGGAGGTCCCTCCAAGGTGGCTGGTGGGGCACTGGGGGGCAGCCCAGTCGTCGTGGCAGGGGAGACCCCAGCTGAGAGCTGGAGGGCAGGGTGGGCAGCAAAGCCTTGGAGCTGGCTGGCGGCAGGGCTGGGCGCGCTGGGGGTGGTGGCGGGGTTCAGGGAGGCCCGTGGTGGTGGTGGCCGGCTCATGAGGGCCACCTGGCTGCGGATCTGCTCAATGAGCTGCAACTGGTGGATCTGCTGCTGCTGCAGTGCCACCAGCTGCTCCAGGATCATGGGGATCGCCACGGCGGGGACACCGCCCCCCGGGCCCACGCCCCCTGCCGCCCGTGCGCCCTGCGAGAACTGGGCCACGGCCACCTTGGTGCTCAGCAGCGCCTCCAGGGTCACGTTGGTGCTGGGCATGCTGTAGCTGGCTGAGGCCACGGGCTCTGGTCCCGGAGCCAGCGGGGGCTTGGGGATGGCAGAGGGGCTCGGACCCGGGTATGCCGTGTCCCCCGGGCACTCCACGTCCATGGGCTCCTCGTCCTTGTCTGGGGCCTTCAGCTCAGCGGCCTCACCAGGCTCAGGCGGAGTGGCCTCCTCGGCGGCCTCACTCTCTGCTGGCTCGCTGGGAGAGCTGGCGGGAGAAGGTTCTGGAAAGGCTTCGGCAGGCGGAGGGGGCTCATCGTCATGCACGATCAGCACCAGCGGGTTGTTGGTGCAGCTCTTCTTGTGTGCCAAGAAGTCGGTCCACTTGAAGAACTCGCCACAACACCGGTCACACACGTTGGTCTCCTCACTCCCACTGCGGCTCTCGTCCCCGCTGTCCTCCTCGTCCACGCCTTCCCTGGGGACGGCTGGAAAACCGAAAGATTGCATCAGCCGGTGCCTACTGGACGCTGCCCCCCCTGAATTCTGCACGCCAGTAAAATCAATGCCTTTTATTTTGTACAAATTGCCCCACTTCAGCCATCGTGACGCGAGTGTGTGTAGTCCATGCCTCTTTCCAGCTAGCTAATCATTTTCTTAGCACCATCCATCAAATTATGAGGCCCTATCAATTGTGGATACCGCTTCCTAATGAAATTCCATAGAAGGCATTGATTTCCAATATTGCCAGGCAATCGCGCTGGATCTCTGTCGTGGACAAAGCCAGCCTTCGACGCCTCATTAGGGCCCCTCCCTCACTGCTTCCTCATTTCCAGCGAGATGAGGGTGGCCTTTGCCAGTTCGCTTAACATTGCGAACCCGCCCGTGACCTTTCAGACCCCGACCCGGTGTGCTGCGAACCACCTGTGCGAAGGCCCAGTCACCGCGTCCCTGCCCCTCTCAGATCTACACGCAGTGTCCCCCCACGGAAATGGCTGTGAAATGCTTTCGTCTGTAAACGCAACAAAGAAAACAGAAGCACTGCCCTTATCTCCACTCAGAAACTACCTCCTGGCCAGCCGGCCAGTCGACTCCCATGCCATGTCAGGTCAAGCCCACCCTTCTCCCTCTGCCAGGTTGGTGGTGACAGCCCATAACCACACAGCCTGGTCAGGGCCGAGCGTGCCAGGCGCAGGCTATGTGGCTGTCAGATACCATATTTCTCGGCAAAATGAACTGAAATTACATGTTATTGGTATTAGTCCATAGAGTTCAGCGTCTTGTTAACAAACTAGAAATTACATATTTAAAGTTCATTTACGGTGACATGTTTAACATGAGAATGTTGCAGTGAGACACACTTTCGGTGCCTATTTTCATCCGTTCCCATAGAAGGACTTAGCAAATTATATGCTTGCGCCGTAGCAGAAAACCCACTAATTGGTTACACATGTTTAATTACTAGTGCAAGCACTCACTTCCTCTGATGCCCGTTACCCTCTTGTGCCGAACGAACCACAGCCATGTTTAATGGAGGGTTCTAATTCACACCTGATCAAATAACTCGCCGCCGCTGCCGCACAGGAACGGCGGCTCCCTGTGTGCGCGGCGGCCGAGTGTGCAGTTCCCCTCTCAGGGCAGCTGCGGGGAGGGAGGCCGGGCCGCTGGGAGCTGCTTCCTGTCAACGGGCAGATGGAGTGAAGGCCACAAATCAAACCTGCTGAGGGACCCGCTGGCCGGCTCTTTGTTGCCCGGAGCTGGGTGCAGGAGAGACCTGGGCACCTCCAGGTCTTTGCAGCTGTGGTCTCAGCAAAGGGACTTGCGGGGAAGGCGCGGAGGAAGGGACACACAGCTCAGTGCTCAGCCCACAGGAGCAGTCGGGTTACAAAACAAACAAGCGCGCACCGCGGCCTCTTAGGGAAAAGAGAATGGAAATATTTTTGAGGGCAGCCTGCTGCCTTCCGCGAGGCCATTAGCCGCAGGCAACATGTACAAGCCTTTAAAAATTATTAACAGTGTTCAATTAGCATTTTTCTAACAGGCTGGAGCACTGGGGAGGGAAAGTAGTTGGAGGGGCAGGCCCGGGAGACCCCGGAGACTTTTAAACTCCATTCGGAACTGGACCGCTCTGGGTGCAAAGCCACAGCTGATTCAGACCGAAGACATATGCAACCCCTGCCTTCCCCCGCCTCCTCCCAGCCCCGGGGCCCTGACTTTGCTCAACATATGCACAATCTCATTTAAACCTGCCAAGGTTCTGGACAGGATGAAATAGAGTAAAAGCCTCACCTCCTCAGGGAAAGAGTTTCTTCCCAATGGCAAGATAAGGGCCAGTGCAGTCCAGCAAGTATTTTAATAACTGCCACAACACACAGCGATTCTCTACTTCCCGATGTCTCCAGAATGACAGTGCGCCGCTCACCCATGTATTCCAAAGAACATCTAAGAAGCCACTTACAAAAACCAGCGGAGCCGCTGTGGCATCACCGTCGTCACCCACACAGAAATGGCGGTGCTAGTCACTCCGGAAAGAAGGCTTTTTCAAACGGGCTTTCCAGTCTTTTAAAACTACGGTCTAACAGGCTGATGTGCAATCTTCATAAATAGGTTCTTTTTCCTTTTTAATTCACGTAGGTTTTGAAAAGGAAGGTCCCAGAAGAACCAAAAGCGTGCTGCTGTTTTGAAATACATTCTACCTTTATTTTTCAGAAGAGATAAAGTAAAGAACTATGCTGTATGGAACACTTGGATGGTTATATAAACCTAAACCCTACAAATTGAAACCTTTCACATCAATCTCAAAGAATACTTCTTGCTCATATGAAACACGTGCTAAGGACAGAGCGCTGAGAAACTGCTTGCATTCTGGAGGAGAGCGCCTACAGGCAGGGATGAAGAGCCCACTGCACAGACTCGGCATCTCCAGCCCCAGTCCCTGGCCTCTTTGCAGCACACGGTGTGGGGGACTAAGAGGGAAGCGGACTTGTTTTACCCTCGGCATTTCTGGAAGGTCTTTCAGCACCTCACAACAAGTCTGTATTTAACTGAAAGACCCGAATATCCGCCTGCTAGTTTTTCAGGTGTTAAGTATCTTCAGGGTTCACTTCTAACCCCCTGGAGCTTGGGATGGCTCACACTGCCAACTTCCTTTTTCCCATTGGTCAGTTTGCAAAATTGCAGCTAATTGTCTCTCGACTGATGAAACTGTGCTCGGAATATTTAAACCTTTCATGCCAAGTAGCAGAAGTTGGTTTCTTTCCGACAACTGTTACTAATAGTCACCTAGAGATAACGAGGGTAGCTTCCTCAGAGTCAACCCGTCTACTCCCAGGGGAAGGATAGCGCATGCCTTAGGGTGCCCTGACCCTCTGCCTGCTAACAATTCACTATTGCTCCAGATTCAACACGACAGACAGCCCTTGGACTTTAGAAACCAAGCCTCACAATAAATGTTACTTTTGACTCAAACGTGCAGGGAAAACCAATTCTTCAGTTCAGTTCAGATTTCTTATTTGGGGGACATAATCTGGGGTCACCACCTAGAAGTCCGGGGTTGGGACTAGCAGGAAATGTCCACAGCATGCTCATTTGCATGGTTGTTCTCTGGGTGCCCAGGCTGCCCCCCACGGGGTTTCACTATGGTAACGCGGATGTCAACTCCTCCAAAGTCTCTGTGGGGAAGCACAGGCTCCCCAAGGCAACCTCCAGCACAATGAGCACAAGCATGCATGGCAGCCCCCACCCCAGCACACCCTTGGCCTGGAGAGGAGCTGAGACTAGACTTGCCACCACCAGACCTAAGGAAGATGTTATTAGACGACGAATGCTCACTTCAGCCGATGGGCTTGGTAGGGAATAATCAGAGAGCTCACATTGTGTGTGTGTGTGTGTGTGCACGTGTATGCAAAAGAGAGAGTGCAAGAGAGACCCTTAGCACGACTTCGCAGCAGAATGTGCCCTTACTGGAGGGCAAGACCCTAACAGTTAGCCTCCCAGCAGCCCCCATGGCTCTTCCTCAGTCCTCCAAAGTGCACTCGTGGCTGGGTATTTGCACTCAGCCTGGCACTAGAGGTATTATTTTAATGCTGCTATAAGAAAATCTGAAAGCAGCCCCCCAATTTATCACATACATTCTAAAGCCCTTTAATCCCGCCACCGTGTAGAGCCAATATTATGTCTGGTTCGAGTGTATTTAATCGTCTTTTAATTGCGCCCGGACTTTGAGCTGGGCTTTTATGTTCTACCAGTAGATACCGCCACACCCGTCCATTCAGCTGGCTTAAATGTATTTTGTTTTTGTTTTTTAATTTCCACTAAAGGCCTCATCAATGAGGCGCCCTCGCAGGAAGCGTGGGGCAGTTCTACCCGTGTTGTCTTGGCTTTCTCTCTCCCCTTTCTTAGGGGGAATTAAACACAAGCCTGATAAACATTAACATGAATGTCAAACTCATCTGTTTTTGCATACCGACTGTTCATCAACTAAGAGACTGGAAACTGTAAGTAGGCCAGGGATTAAGCGTCAATTTATAGTACATGAGGGCTGTATTAGAACGAGTGAAGGAAAATGCCAGCGTTGCATGACTTCCATTACAGCCTCCCCTCTCAGAAGACCCGAATGCTTGCGTCCGGGTGTCTTGAAACAGGTTGTGTGTGTTTGCTGGGAGCGACCGGACTTGGCAAAGCCTGCGCTGGCGCCCTGGGCTGTGGCTGCAAGCGTGCCTGTGCTTGGGAGCTCGGCACGAGCAGCAGTCGGGGAGAGGGAGCTGGCCACAGAGGTTCTGTCATCACAGAGACGATGATCAGCAGCTGGCAGACGTACCTGCAATGTGTGCTTCACATTCTCCTGCCGTCTCCCTGTCCCAATGTGTTCTCGCCCAAGTTCTGGCCACGGCTGAGTGCGACCGCAGAGACCTTCCCACACAACCCTGTAGCAAAGGGCAACCCCAAGATGACCACTCTGGAAACACATGGGTTTCTCTCCTCACCCTCATGATGCATGCACACAGGTGCTCGGGGCTCGCGGCCAGCCCCCCACCCAGAAAACAAGCAGAACCTGCAAGGCTTCCTCAGGGTGGCTGCGGGCGCTTGGGAAAGTGCTTCGGGTCCTGCCCAAGCAGGGCTGCCTCGCAGGGCGGCAGACAGGGAGGACACGGCTAGATCTGCAGTTTGTCCAAATGGAATCTTCCTCTGGAATCATTCACCTGGCGGTCTGCAGCCACACGTTTCCGGGCAACTCCCGGATAGATCAGAAGGTGGGCCTGTTCTCCCCTCTGTGGCCTTTTAAGCCTTCACAGACACAGGGGGATTTGCGACAAAGTTGTTTTTGCGAAATCTGAATGTCAAATGATAGATCTTTGGAAGGCTCACTGTCCTCTTTTCAGGACACAGAGCCTTTAAACAAGTGAGCCACCCACCAACGCTCAGCAAGCCAGGAGTCTGACCCGGGGCCTCCGCCTGTCCACCTGAGACACTCCCTGGCCCCTGTAACTTGCAGAAACTGTAGCCATAGCCAGCAGAGAACTCTGGGCTCCACTCACGGGGCTGTGAGGGGCACGGCGGGTCTCTGTGAAGGGGAATTGTTTTTTTTCTGGGACTTCACCATTCCTGAAAAATCTAGCGCCCCTCCCTACCACCACCACCCCCAAGTTTTCTTACATAGTTAGGAGACACTTATTTTCTTGCAAATTAATTCTTTTTAACTCCTTATGATAGCGTTGAATCCCATAAAGAAAGATGAATTATCGCATACTGGGCCCAAGCTGTGAAACAGGGGGAGACAAATAGAGACCCCCACTGTGTTTA